CCCCCGAACCAAAACTAGAATTTCCTCCTTTGAAACGTTTGTTTCCACCCCGAAACTGTGACTGGATTAGGATTCCCTTGACTTTGATGGTGGGGATAATAGTTCGCATTGTAGCTATTGAAATCGTTCTGATTGTTGAATTGATGATGTTGATTTCTTCCTCCGAAACTGTAGGGTCGGTTACCTGTGTTGGCAAAGTGTTCGTTGTAACCGTTGGCCCATCGTTTCTCTCTCCTTCTCTCTTGGTGATTTCCTTGATTTTGAACTCCGTCTCGGTTTAGGCTCGATTGATAGGAAGAAGATTTGTGTAGATCCGGGCGTTTGAAACCAGTATCTGGGTCGACATTTGCATGTGAGAAACCCGGAGCATAGTTGTTGTCCTTCCAACTAGCTTCTCCTAAGGATCTTACAGTGCTGTAGCACTGTTCTACTACAACCATCTGTTTGACCGATATGTCGGGTACTGCCGCTCCGTCTTTCGATGGAATGCGGTGCGCGAAGGCGTTCATTCGTACCTGCATATCGTATCGGAACGCTGTCATGAACCCGTAGACGTCTGAGATGGCGTCACAGTTTTCCTTGTGGATCCTCAGCTTTTCTGCGAAAATGCCCTTGTTGTATACATCCCTGAGTGTGATGTAGAAGGCGCGATGATTATTAGTCCACGATGAGTGTGTTTGGGTCCATTCGTCGTGATACGCTAGACCTCGGTAAGCTTTATCTTCCGTAGACTTAGACGGCTTCAACATTAGGTGGGCCGCTATCGCCTTCTTCTGCCACTCCCTGTCAAATATGGTTAGCGGTAGGGGCGCTCGCAATTTCTTGATGTTCTCATTGAAATATGGGGTGAAGCCTATGTCTTGATGGCTGGTTACTGCTCCTACTGCGTAGACTAAGTTGTCTTCCAATTCGGTCACTGTCTCTGAATTATTGCCACCGATTATTGTTTGCGCATTAGGTAATACCGGCATGGCTGACAAGGAGCGTGTCATCTTTGGCGGGGCCGGCTTCTTGGGTTGGTCCAATTCGTTGTACGCGGCTAAGAGGATCTTGGTCAAGATAGTGTCATTTGACTTCTGCGCTTCTTGTATCTTCTCCCAAATATGTGATCTTTGATCGATGATGCTTGGCTCGGGTGGCACTGACGTCGTATTAATCGCATCTTTCAAAACCTCTGTAGACAGTACTGTCATCCAACGATGGAATCAGCAATGTAACTCCAATGTTGTCGTGACTCTTTTCTGCCAAATTGCTTACGCGGCACTTGTGTTATCAAGTCTAGAGATTCCTCTCCCTCACTTTCGTGTGTATCGCTCAACGGTGCGTTCCCGAGATTCTTGTTTGAAGTCTTGTCCTTTCCGGATCCTTGTTCAGTGGAACTCAAAAGATTTCTCTCGGACGTATTTTGACCCGCAGGTTCAACGAGACATGGTGTTCGATGGGACCGTCTCTACGTCTTACG